GTTCTTCAGATAAACTTTCCATCAACCCAACCATCAAAGAGTTCCAATAAAAAAAATCTGAAGGATACCAGGTTGCCTGTTCCTCAGCTGAGCTGGGGGGAAGACTTACCTAGAACCCTGGTAAACAGAGGTCAGGGTAAACTAGGTTCATATAATATTCTAAACTATGATTAAATAAACCATAACTGGCTGTATTTGCACAATCCAGGAACCCATGAACGGAGACACGGTGGTTTGTAAAATGTGGTTTATGACTTAGCATAAATTGGAACCCAGTCAATTGCGATTTACTCAGCAATTATGAGACAACTCTTTCTGATGTGGATCATGGTCAGGAGAGGACTGCTGAGGGAGGAGGAAAACGCTCAAAATTTGACTTATAGCCTAAGATAAAATAACATCGTCTTAATTAACTGGAGTTAATGGAAGAGAAGCTTATCATCTTCTCAGTATGCCCTTCCATTGACATCCATAGCGGTTAGACTTGCATATCCTGCTAAATCACACTCAGCTTTCTTTGTATGAAGTGCAACGTATGAATCCGACTGTTATGGTTGCAAACCATGATTTGGGGATAGTATTTTGTGAAGCAGACCATGACAGCCTTCTGGAAGGCCTTAAAAAACTAGCTTTTCCCTTGCACTTTAGGGCCAGAATGCTAATGGAGTCTGGTCTTTGTTTTTTTCTGCCTTGTTTGCCAGTTTTATTATATTTTACCTGGCATTTTTTGTTTTTATTGTTTCTATACACATTTCTGTCTTATGTTCTGGTAGCCACGCAGAGTTATTTGATTAAGATGGGTGGCCATATACATTTGCTAAATAAATACTTACATATATACATGATGGAGTAGCATGATGTAAGAACCTAGGTAAAGATGACTTTTTACAGAACTCAAGGGGCTGCGAAGGATGATTGTCAAGTTTTGCCCAAGCTCATTCTTGAACTAGAAAGCTCACGGACAGAGATTCAAGAATATACCTCTTGGATAAGCTAGTTTTCTAGAAAAGCTGTAGTTAATGCAGAGAACCAGGAACTGCCAACTCCCTAACAGTCCAAAGGTTCAACTCATACGTCTCTTTTTCCTACCTGTGTGCCCCAGCAAATTGAGAACTAGTTGTTTCTCAGTGGGAGGAACAGTTGGTATTTGTGCCAGAGGGTGAAAACCTGAAAGATGTTGGGTGTGGTGTTGCGACCCAAGCCCTGCCTTTTTATACATGTGTGTAACATCAATGCACATGCAGGGATGAAGCTTGCATTACAATGCTGCACTCACCAATCTGCACACTGCTATTGTAATGGACCTGCCTGCTCTCACAAAGATCATTTTTCTTCTGTACATTTAAGTTTGCTTACTTGAGGATCTCAACCAACCCACCAGACTGTGATTAATAATATCTTCTACTGTTAATGTTCAGATCCAAACTGTTGGAAATTTCATGCACAAAACACTTAAGGCTGTATAAAAATTCACTTGTAGGAAAAGAATCGGAACCATTCACTGAGTTACCTTAGTGTGCTAAGCTAATCTTTCCTCAAACATATTTTATTGGATAAACCCCTCAAGGCAGGATCGTTGAAAGCCAGCTTCCAAAAAACGATGGCTCTAAACCATAGTTTACAAAGCACAATTCATATAACTTGCTAGGCCAAAATCAAACCACTATGGGTCTTAACACATGTGAATCCCAACATTGTTCTACTTCACGTTTGCTAATCTCTTTCTTACACCTAGCTATTGAAGCATTTGCTTTTCCTCCTGATGACAATACATAGATGTGTGCGGTGATCTCCATGGGAGGGGGAGGGGTCCAGAAAGTCAAGATGACAGTCATGGCAGCACAATCAAAACCCCACCCCTTTGTACATACATGTGATGTCAACACATATGCAAAAGAGGCAGGGCTTTGATTGTGTGGCTCTATCTTTCCTTTTTTAATTTCCCCTGGAGACAATGCTGGCTGTATGGTAACTTCATTAAGAGCAAAGAGAGGATGTCCTTCAGAAATTAAGCATTAAAAAAATGGCAGAATTTGGTGTTCTATAGTAAACCAGAACTGTATGAAGCCCTCTTATGATTCTGTAATTCCCCTACAGTTAACATTGTTCTGTCATATGTCCCGTATCTAATTTTAGGCCTCAAGTGTCTTTCTTATACACCTCTGAAGCACAGAGCAGGAAGATATTTTGAAGTGGTCTACTGTGGAGGTTTCAAATCTTATTTGCAAGCTAGAAAGAAAGAAAAAAATTTGATGGTTACCTCTAAACTGAGGTAGCCAGACATTAGTATGGATCAATAAAATCCATTACAACGGGTAGAGTAATGGCAATTTATTTATTTATCTCAAGAAAATGAAGTGCTGGAAAGGATGTCTAGAGCATTTTGCAAATAATGATGCTAGTAACTGTATAGTGGAAGATCTGCTGAGATCCGAGGCCTGATGCAGGCTTAATACTAGATTAAAGCAGTTATGAAGAAAAAGAATACAATTGTATTGTGGGGTTTGGGATAGTTTTGAAGTGTCGTTCTGGTCTTCTAAAATGCCCTGAGTCTTTCGGGACTAGGCGACACACAGATAATAATAAACCTTCGTATTCTGGAATATGGCATCTGGTAAACTTCTTCCAAGAGTCAGTTTGGTGAGGTTGTGAAATGCTAGAAAACAGAAGAGTGAGCTCTAGTCCTGCCTTCTTAGGCACAGAAGCAAGCTAGGTCTGTCTCAGCCCTAGGAAGAAGGCGGCAAACCACTTCTGAAAACGTTGCCAAGAAGACTGCAAGGACTTGTCCAAGCAATTCCCAGGAGTCAGGGCTGATTTGAAGTCATACAACAAACAAACAAACAAGTAGGTTTGTCTACTGTAGGAGCCCGAATCAGGTCAGGAACATCATGATGTCATCACTCTAACACAAATTATGTACATGTAGTCCTCGCTTAACCACCAGAATTGGGACTGGAATGTAAGCCACTAAGCAATGTGGTTGTTAAACAAAACATCATGTGACTGCACCTGATTTTACGACCTTTTTTGCGGTGGTCATTAAGTGAACCACATGGTCATTAAGCAAATCATGCGGTTGTTAAGTGAATCATGCAGTTCCCCATCAGTTTAGCTGCCAGAAGCCAGTTTGGAGGGTCGCAAATGGCGATGATGTGGCCCCCAGATGCTGTAACTGTCATAAATGTAAGCTGGCTGCCAAGCACTCGGATCACGATCACATGACCTTGGGGGTACTGCAATGGTTGTAACTTCAGGCACCAGTCTTAAGTCACTTTTTTAGCATCGTCGTAACTTTGGTCGCTAAATAGCCATTAAGCAAGGACTACCTGCATTCCATGTTGTTTTTGGGATGAGGTCATTTATCTGTGACCACCTTTCCTCCTCCCTACAGACACCCATGTTTTGGTGGCTTAAGAATGCTGTGCCAACCCAGGGCATATTGTTATTTTATGTTTCAGCATACTGAGTGCACCTAAACCGCATGTGAATTTAGTATCCAAATTAAGCAGATGATGCCTGTCTTAATATGTCAGCTGGTTCTCTTGAAAATAATTTTCTAGTCTTTCATACAGGCAGCCATAGTAAGGGATTTGCAGACACCAGAGAAAACTTTCCTCCTTCTCCAATTTATAATCCGAGGATGCACATAATTTGTTTTCTCGCCTGTGCTCTTGTCTCATTCATCTCCAAGTGGAGAGGATGGTATGAATGGAGTTTTTTTATGCCAGAAACCGACCCACATATTCAAGGGGACATGTAGGCAGAGGGCTCTCCCGACCGCATGTGAATGTTCTTCAAGTCTGCAATCGCTGTACCGCCAAAGGCCTCCCGTGGACCACTCTGCAAGGGCCCGGCTCCCCAGGAGTTTGCCTACCGTCTCCAAAGCCCCACATGTAATTCCCCACCGCGCAATGAGGAAGCTGCCGCCGGAGGCCCCAGACCCCGTTCACACGTCCAACGAGTCGCGAGTCTCGCGTCGTCCAAGGCTCCCCGCGCGCGCCAGCGACCGAACCAGCCTCGGCCAACCCCGCAAGGATGCTCTGAGCACGCAAGCGGAGGAACGCTCCCTCCGGGGGGTTGGCCCAGCCGAGCCCGAAAGTTGCCCTTTCCCAAGTGCGGGAACGCCCGAAAGCCCGGGCAAGCAGCCCGCCGGCCGCCCCTCGGGGCTAGCTTCTCACCGGGCGAG